CCCCGGGCTGTTTTCTTTGGGAAGAGAGAGAGACAGTAGAATGAATGGACAGAGACACGGTAGGACAGGCGCAGAGGGCGTCTACAGGAATCGTGTTCTGTCGGCGTGGTTTCTCTCTCTTCCCCGCGTGTGAAGAGAAAACATTAATGCAAAAAGGCAATTCGAAAGAAAAACAATAAATCTGTGTTTCTATTTTTCATGACCTCCCTGCCTCCTCTGCTGTTTTGGGCACCTTGATCTCGCTTGCTGTTGCCTTTGTTTTTGTACGTCTGGCTGTCTGCCCATCTGCCGCCTCTTTGTCCTGTTTGCTCCGTTACTCCCATGCCCTNTTGTTCCGAGTGGTTTGTACCCTATTTTTGTTTTGTTTCCCCGCGGCGCCGTATGTGCCGGGTTTTGAGACCACGGGCTCCCCGTTTTTTGTGGACTAAAGAGTTAATGTGAGAAACAACAACAACAACAAACAACAACTCCGAACGAAAAAGACATGCTCATGGCTCGAGCAAGACATCACGAATGTAAGGCTTGGGAGGAAAAACGCAGAGGAGGAGAGAGGGAAGGAACACTTACAGAATCCACGGGCTTTCCCTCCACCTACGACTGTATCTGTAGCCAAGATGGTCTACAGCAGTGGACCCCAGAGTGCATGTAGACCGTCCTCTCATCAACTCCCCTACCCGTGACAGCAGCGCGTTTTCCCTGTTTGCACCCGAGAACCTCAAGTACTCACCGACAACGATGGCTCAGGCCGAACGCCCAGACCAAAGGATTCACTTCGAAAGGTGCCGAACGAGATGGTAAGTGATTTTAGATCCTCCCAGACTGCTGGTTCTGGTGATGACGCCGTTGATGCTGGTGCCGCTGTTGCTGCCGATTGTGCTGACAATGGGCTTGTCGGACCGCCGCTCAAGGCAGAGCAGCTGAATTGACGCCGGAGCATGACGGGGGTGAAAACGAGAGGGATTGGGTGGCCTGGGTCTGGACCGGTATAGGATAGGCCTGCTGAAGAGGAAGACGTGCCGGCGTGCCTTCGGTCGGCTGGTTGAGGCGCACTGGAGGAACGCTGCATCATGGTACTCGTACACCTCAGTCCCACCGCGGTAGTAGATGTCGTCTGCGTTTTGGGCAGCCCGTGTGCGGCCCTGATAGTCTTGAACACCGCGGAGAGAACGGGAGAGACAGGGAAAGCGGCAGGCGCGCGTAGGTTTGTGCCACGAATGGGGTGGTCATGTGGTCATGGGCCGGGCAGGCTACAACTGCTGTAGATCTTTGATTGGTTTGACAATTGGCACCACGGGAACCGTTCCGCGCGTTCCTCAATTTTCGACAGTCCCGCGGAACGATCCGTGCCCCGGCGCCTCTTCCTGCCGTGACCTCGCCACAGCAGTTCCCACTCACCAACTTCGGATCTTTGAGGTTTCGATTTTTCAGTGCTTTTACCGTAAGTTTGCGAGTCAGCGCACAGTCCGGAGTCATCGCACAGGGGTGCGATGGGGATTTCCGCACAGACAGGTCCGGAGTCACCGCACAGGGGTGCGATGACTCGCAACCTACAAGCAGGGTAGTTGAGTGCAACCGGTCGGTTCCGAAGCACCTTTCACCCTTGCAACCAGGTCATTTCTGGCATGCTAGATCTGCTTTGTGGGTAGGTTACGGTCGCACAATATATGTGGAGGTATGAAGGAAATGAAACACATGAGTGTTTCAATTGGATGCATCGGGAAACTTGAACAACAGTAGACCAATGTCAAAAAAAAACACGAAAAAGAACAGCAGCCAGCCACAGACTAAGTCAAATCAAGTTAACCCTAACGATAAGTACCACGGACTAGCACCACGAAACAGCAGCACTGGTGCACAACTTGTTCTACTTTCGCTACCAAACAAACTTCAAACCCCATCACTTCAAGAAACACCAATAACGGCGCCAACCTCCGTACTGCTGGGATGCACACACTTCAAAATGTGCAATAGATTTTTCGAGAACCGCACATTTCTTGACGTCGCCTTAGGTTTATTCCGGACCGCACATAACGGAGTCATCGCACACGGGTGTGTGCTACACATCAAAATCAACGATTTAATTCGATTTCCGCACAGGGTCCAGGGTCTCCGCACGGTCTGGAGTCATACCACGGGGTGCAATCCAAATGAAACGGCGAAAAGTGTAAAAAACGACCACACGGGGGTGCGCTGACTCGCAACCTTACGGTACCTGCCTCCTGTGGTGTGACACTGATCTCAGCTGGGGCGCCAAACATATGCTGACGGTGTACACTGGCGTCCAGAGTTGATGGGGTGATAACCCGCGATCAGCAAACGAAAACCTGTTGTTTGTGTTCCGGGCCGCACAGCCACGGCTAACACCATCGAGAACCGCATTGACAAGCAGCCGGAGGACAGCTCCACGCTACAGCTTGGCCAGCGTGGAAGTAGCCCGCTACGGCACAAACTGCATAAGTGTCGTCGCCCGCGCTAGTAAGCGTCACGATGGCTTGAATCACACCCTGCAGTCTTCCCAACAAGAAGTTGGACTCCACGATTTTCAGCTTCGGCCAAGGGAGCACCTGTGACCTCATTGTGAAGAAGCGGTTAAACATTCGAGGCACGGTGTGCGACGGAGAAGAAAGCAACACCCCGCGTAATTGCGATGCGCTCGGCGGTCGAGAGCCGGACGCAAGCGCTCGCAGACGCATGTTTGGCGAACACTCCCCTAACCAAGGCGCTACCTGAGCCTTGATTCCGACTTAGATTTCCGGTGGTAAATGTGAGGCCCACGTCCACCGTCGAGCTGGCACCAAAGCGTTCTGAGCCATGACGTAGGGTTCCAGTCGTCCCCTCTGCCATAATGCTCGTTATACGCCATGTTCAACTTAAAGTGGAAGCCCTCGCAGAGCGACTCGGCGGCAGAACGTTTCGCCCACGTGGTGCCGGGGGAGCCACCCAGGCGACCGGACCGCCCCACCCCCGCGCACGTGACCTCATGCGCGGAACTCGCCACCTTCCCCGGAGAACCGATAAAACTATCAACCTACCTCGTTCCGGGAGGTGTGAACACAAACGAGGTCTCCGTGGCGCAAGACGGACGAGCCGCCATCCCCGCCACAGGAGAGGTGAGTAACGTTCCCTTGTTGCAGTTCCAGCAAAGCGCGCATCCGACCAGATCAGTGACCACGACAACGGTGTTTCCTTGTTCAACGCGGTTGGGGTTTGTCGTCTCGAAACCCTCGAGCCAACGTTCATCTGTGTGCGCTCGATGAAGTTGACTATCCTTTCTACAGCATGTGCTACTTCATATACGGATGGGGGCAACCGCCAATACCGGTACGTTCTGCGCCAACACGGAACCCCGAAACGGACGGATATCCCCCTATCGACATAACAGTGTATGGGTCAAGGCGAAAACAACCTCTGACTTCGTATTGCCCGGTCAGGATGTCGCCAACGCTTGAGGATGCTCAAGCCAAGCAAGTACAACCTCCGCGATGTGCGCGACGGCAACGGGGCGGGCTGTCGCTACACGAAATTCAGATGAGCAGGTTTCGGGGTTAATGCCGAAAACATGCAACTATCCAGGCTGGGAGCTGAGAAAGCATCGCACAGCACAGACACTCGCAACGAAGCGCCGGGCCCACTATTTACGACAGTTTAGCTGTTGTTCCCGCGTGAAGGAGTAGGCCACACAGCTGCTGCGTGTGCGCCTGTGCAGTGTGTGGCAATCGATGGGACAATTTCGGAACCTGCGCCAGATGTTGTATTTCCAAGCTTCGGGTGTTCAGGCACATGTCGATAAGACACCTGAAACATCTTTGGCGGGGGACCCCACTCTGGTGAACCAGCGAGGGCGGGTGACGCATGACGCAATATTCCGGAGGCGGAGTGGCGAGGCTGATGTCTAAAAATAATGGCGGGGGAGGGAATCTAACCCGTCTAGGCATTTGCTTCCACCCACTGTCGGTACTCTAAGGACAACCCATGCGCCGATGGACTTTGTCCCCCGAATCCGTTACGGAAGGTCCGCTTGCTGGGCATGAGATGCGGCAGCACCTGGGAAGAGGCAGCCACCACGTAAGCACCGCGACATCGGCAACATCCCGTTGGTACCACATCGGCCCCATTGAGTTATCTGTCGAGCGACCGAGAAGAAAACGGCATATTGGTGGCAGGCGTGAACAGTCTGCAACGCCCGTCCGCAAACTGGCCATTGCGCAAACCGACGGCAAACCCGCCTCACCGACCAACTTCTGAAAGCGGGCCAAAATGTGTTGAGCACCGCACGACATCGATCAACATCTGAACATGCAAGCGAGCGTCATGAAGCCCCAGAAGAAATTGTGTATGCGGCCGGCACCACCGCAGCAAGGGGGACAGCAATCGTTGACGAGGCACGTGGTGGTGGCAGACGCCGTAGCAGTCACCCGTTAGCAACTTGGGCCTGGCGTAGATTGGCGGCAAACACCGCCGCAGCAACCACATGTAGCCGCCAACAAAGGGACCTACGAGGACGGCGACAGCCCTTGACGAGAAAAAAAGTCAAGGAACACATGACAAGGCACCTTAACTGTATCGGCACCGCCAAAAGCCTTCTGACACGGCTTGACTCCATCCCTTTATCTTGAGGATGAGGGCACAGACAGGAGGCCAGATGCGGTTTTCTAAGACTACAGTTTTTTTTGTCTTCACTTCAAATCAGCGCTCACAGTACTATTTAGTGCCGTTTATTCCAACCCGTAAAAAAGTCACACAGAAGGACGCCTCTCTACCCTCCCCTCCTGCGATACGTTAAGTTCGATTTTGAATGCGAGAAGAGGTCAGCACTTTCTTCCCTCTATGTACACACGAACTACATAGCGCCACCCACTAGGCTACGGGCGGAAGCGATAACAATACCTCACTTTGCAAGAGAATCTCGGTTACGCTGAGATTCGGACTCCTGATTGACCTGACCTCTACAAGGTTTCGAGGCCACAAACTAGACCACCGGGGCGACCACAATCCGTGCGAAGAATAAACAATATATTTCCTCTGTCACATAAGTAAAGTCCGTTATGGGGGAGTTTACATACCTCACCAGCCAAGGTGTTCCTGAAGCTCTAGTTAGGTTTGTTGGAAAGCGCTTGTTACGCACATAACTTTCAAAAAAAAAATCCGACTCACAATTGCTGAGAATTAGTGTGTCAAATACGGGACTATTTTGCGAATAATTTGGGAATATTTTGAAAACATTTTGAGAATATTTAAAGGATATTTGCAGCTTTGTGCTGTGTGAGCACCCACTACCACCACAACGACGTAGCTATCATAGGGGACGACGCCCAGACACCCCCACGTCGTAAGCGGGGTGCGGAAGTATCGTTGGGTCGTCGGTACGCCATGGCGGTGGAGATAGCGTTGGCGATTCCGCCGGGCAAAGAAAGGGTACCCAAGGGCTTTCTAGGCCCCCTCGCCGAGCGGTACGGCGTTGATAGTGATTACCCCAGAAAACATTGGGCGGACGCGACATGGGTCGTTGAGTACAAGGGGGGGGTAGGGTTAGGATCCTACGCCTGTCGGCTTTGCCCCGCAAGTAACTTGATTAAAGTGTGGCGCCCGCAAGTGTCTTGGTTTTAGTGTGGGCCTCGAAAATGTCTTGATTTTAGTGTGGGTTCACTACTATGTTGGTTTTTGTATGGGAGGACGCGAAATGGATCGTTCAGTAGAGGTAACCTTGGGTTTAGGGTTCGGGATAATTCTTGTCTTTTTTTGGAATGTTTCGTTTCGTGCCCCCACCCCCACCCTCATGGAAAGGGGCAAAATACGGCCTTTTTTAGCCTGACTACTTTTTTGTAAGCCGCTAGTGCATGCAGGGTAGTGCGCAAGAAAAATAAGAAATATGGGTTTCAACCCGAAAAACGCTCAAGATTTCAAAAAAGTATCGCCTAAGACATCGGACACGGCTAAATGGCCGTGTAATCATAACGGACTTTACTTATGTGACAGAGGAAGTAGGTTAAGAAAAAAACAAGCTGCTGTAAAAATGTTGCGTACACGCGGTACGGAGGTTGACAGAGGAATGATCGGAAACTATTAGGAAAAATACCTACGTATGTACACGTACCCCACAAGGAACACACGAAAAGTTGATTTCCGCTCTACAAACGTCTTCGATTGAGCCGAAGCTCGCAAATACTGGTTTCGATTCTGACCGACACATCAAATCGCTTTTCATGCGGGGACCACCACAACTCACCCTGCCCGTCACCACAGAGGTTCTAGCCGCCCCGAGAAAAGAACTAACCACGATGGTGAAACGGGCGTCGCCCTCCCTGTCGGTGAACGGAGCAGAACTTTACTGGCCAAACACATGCCGAAACCAGCAATGATCTATTATTCGTATAGTGTTGGAGATGGACGGGCGGGAGGGTAAATGACGCGTTGTGACCTGGCTTTCTTGCACACCAAACAAAACAATCCGAAGGTAGCAGCTGCCACCCTTAAAATAGAAGTACCTATTGTATCACATGTGTCTTGGCTACAGAGACGCTCGCATTGCCCCGACGTCGTTGCAAAAACCTCAAGCGTGTACCGGGCTACTGCGCGCCCTGAAATAGATGTCGTCGCTGCAGTTTTCGCAGGAGGTACAACCGTTGGTTACGTTGTCGCATTGTGCCTCAGCTTACGGCGGGGTGATGGTGGTGTCGCCGATGGAGTTGTGACATCCGCTATTACAGGTGACTGTGTTGCCGTTAACGCCGCCGACCCGGTCGTTGCCGTCGTTGTCATAATCGTCACCACCGTCAGGGCACCCGCGAAGCCGGCGGAACACGAAAGCGAAGAATGTAACCGCCGCCGCGACCGTGCTCAAGATGACTATCAGTGCCTTGATCCGGTTGGTGGCTAAACGGGCTTCGACGACACCTACGTCCGTTAGGGGGGCGTCGTAAAAGTCGGGGACCCCCGGCGTCACCGTAGGACCCACAGTGGGTGGAATGGTGCCCGGCGTGTTGTTGGTCGTGTCTGAAAAGGGAGTTGCGATGGGCCGCCATTGAGGCGGCGGCGGGGGCAGCCATTGAGGCGGCGGCGTCGTACCAAGAGGCGCAGATACTGGCACTTGTATCACGAACCACGGGAAGTCTAGGAGCGACGGCAGGAACTCGAGTGTGATTGATGTGGCAGGGTGATTGGAATCATCATCCGCGGTTCTGGTGGTGCCCAGTACAAGCAGGTCATCGGGAGCCGGACACGAAGCCTCGTCGATGTCCCTGGAACGGAGCGCCACACCAAAAAATACACAAAAAGCTCTCGGATGCCGATATATCCCAGCCGCATGGGTGCCGTCAGAGCATGATTGTGCCGTGATCTCGGCGGAAGTGTCGAGATTTCCTCCTTCGGGTCTGCGTTGCTCATCACGGCAAACGAGGTAGGGTGGGCGGCAGGAGAAGATTGAATCGGTCAAATTAGCGTACAAGAAGGTCTGCCGATCCGGTGTGAGACACTAACCGTGGCAAACTCGACATCGCCACGCATGCTACGGAGCTCTTCAAGCAACAGAGCGAGCACGTGCAGGGTATCCTTACATTCGATATTGCCAGACCCTTCTACCCCCGCCAGTATGGTAGATCAGCCGGCGTTACTGTCCACGCGACTCACGGGTTTGGTCCGAGGGATGTACCGGATGGGTTGTCCTCGTTCTAGCAGAAAAAGTTCGCGTTCGCTAAATACTCGTCATCCTCGTTCATACTCGGAGTTAGAGACGCTTTCGTCAATCCGCCGGTGCAATCCACATTGTGATACCAGCCGCCGCAACCGAAACATATCCCAAAGACTTTGCTTTCTCCGTCTGAACACCAGAGGATGAACCCTACGAAGCCCACGGTATCGATGGACACGTGCACCTCGCTGGCGAAAGCGCCTTCGGCGCAATCGAACCTGTTTTCGCCACCGAATTTGGTCCCAGTTACGGACGCCGTTTCCGTCTGGTAGTACTGGCCCGAACCCCATGTTACTGTCAGCACCAGCAACCAGAGGAGCCCACCGCTAGATGAACCAGACGTGTTGACCACGCGGAGAACCATCTGCCGGTGAGTGGGCAAAGCATGCCGAGAACGATTTGTGACGTTCACATCCGGTCAGCGCAAACGCCAGCCATCCAAGTGCGCGTGGAGAAGAACCAGGAGAGGGAGCGTTTCGATTTTCCCTCTCTCATATCGCGGCCGAGATCATCCTCAAGTAAGTGCACAACGAGAGGCGGAGTTCCCCGCTATGGACGCAAGTCTGAGGATGTTCAGGCGACTCCTTCGGAGGTGGGGCATTGGACAGAGCCGAAGAAGGGTGAATGCAGCAAATAACGATTGAGGATACTGGCTTTCCGACAACGGCATCCGTGTCGATTCCGGAATGATTTACTGTACGGAGACCTCGCCTTGAAAACGATAGTAAACAGATTGAGTTTGGTCCGTGTTTATCACGGGGGCACAAACACGAGTTTCAGGCTCGCCTGTGGATCGGAGATACCAGATTTGAAGCTTCTATACGAAAAAGCATGCACCATCTCGACCTCATGCGAGGCCTTGTTCTGGTAGCTGAACGTAAGCATCGGGGCGAATTCTGATAAGCGTCCGACCCTTGGGTACTGGGTTCACTAGGGTCAAGGATGGACCCCGTGCCCCCCAATGGGGCGGGCGACCGTAGCGAGACGGATGGCGGTGAGGGTTTGGGAGGAAGGGAAGTATGAGAAGAAGACATAAGACGACCGTACTCTATTAGTCTATATATACAGGTGGCAACAGAATAAAAGTCTTTTTACGTATAGTCCACGGCGGAGGGGGATGTTGGAATGGTGTTGTGAGGCTTTCCCAAAAGGTATCACTTTGATTTAGATACTGTACCATCTTCCGTCGTGGAATGACACACAGCTTTCTTGCTATGTTCGCGATCCACGGGGTGTAATATCTTGGTCACCTCCGTTTGTCTAGTGGGCATAGCAATCTATTGTACAACAGAGGCGATCAAATATATTAGGAGTCGATTTTTTTTTCACGCACAACCCTCCATCAATGGTGAATCGAGTATAATATACTCTACGCTGCTAATCCAACGCCAGACGCTCGGGAGACACTCTCGGTACTCCACAGCAACTCAGTAGAGATTCGATGCTCTCTGTCATGGGGTACTGTACCATTACGAATCATGACAAAATTCACATCGTGCCCCACCAGACCTAGTAAGGTACAATGAGTAATGTCATGACGTGACCCAAGGGCGCATAATAAATAGAAATATATGTTACGGCACCTACCAGACGATAGGAATAAATCCTATTTCTTCATGCAGGGGGTACACTTCATGCACGTGGGAAATACAATTCACGTAACCCCTGGGCGAGCTTGAGCGTACCGCAGCGGACGTTACCATAGCAGAGGTTGGAGGAGGGTTTGGGTCGGGGTTAGGGTTAGGGTTAGGGAGGAGGAGGACGAAGGGAGGGTGGCGAGGAGGGGGGAGTAGGAGGGAGGGCGAAGTGCGCGCTCGACGCGAAAGCGCTCGAAGAAGCGTGTGTCTTGCTATGTTCAGGGAGGTGGAGAGGCTTGGGGAAGCAAATAATAAGTGCAACGCACGGCAAATCGTAATAGTGTACGGGTGTTGCACGTGGCGAAAGTGATGCCACCACCGTAGCTTCAGCGCCGGCCTCTTGATTGGTAAAGGCTTACCCATTAGACTACTCAGTCAGCGCTGACTGAGTAGTCTAATGGGTAAGCCTTTACTAACAAAAGATTGTGTTAGGATGATCCGAACTGGGGGTAGCTTGTCGCAAGACGTGTGTTGAATAGGGTGTCGGCAACTCGGCGAGCTCGCGCCAAGGAGGAAAGACGTGTAGGGTTTGTTGCATAAACTTCTTCTTCACATGAACTCACATGAACTCACTCACATGAACTCACATGAACTCACACGTGCACGCACCACCATGATGGGGCGACGCAGTATACAACAGGGGTACCTTGCACATCCTGGAAATACATTCCACGTACCACATAATCCTACAACCACTTGGCATTGCTACAAGTATATCTATCAGCCCCCCTGCTTGTGACCATGCCATGTCTTTTTCGATCCTCAATAACTCCAAAACACAAGAAAATAAAATCAGAAACTCCACTCAACTCTAGAACAATAGCCTCATTGGCTAGACATCAATAACCATCCCCGATCATACCAGTTATACTTCTTCGAACTTCAGTGAACTTGTTGCCCCCCAGCCTAGAACATCATCCATTGAGAAAAACCATAGGCAAAAATGTAAAATGTTGCCACCCCAGTTGTTTGATCACACACAAAATAAACCCGAACACCAAGATATTAATCCATACTCATCACGTAGTTACGATGAAACTCAAAATCTCCCGCGTGAAGTGCTTTCGTGAGAAAGTCAGCATGTTGATACGCCGATTCCACGTGAAAAATCGAAATCTCCTTCCTGCCTACCAGTTCCCTGATAAAGTGGTGCCTTACGTCGATGTGCTTCGAGTTACTGTTGCTTATCGGGTTTTGCGCCAACTGAATAGCCCCTTGGTTATCCTCGAACACCGGAATACATGGCATGCCTGCTTCTGGTAACATGAAACGCCACACCTGCCTCAGAAACAACACTTCCTTCATCACATCCGCAAGAGAGACATACTCCGCCTCTGTCGTGCTCAACGTAACGCACTTCTGGGTCCTTGAAAACCAAGAAATACATCCCCCCCCACACATCACCAATCCCCCTGACACAGACCTCCTATCGGCAGCCTTACTTGCATAGTCTGCGTCTACGAACACCTCCATGCTTAATCCTGCTACACTACCCCTCCTGAATGTAATACCCAAGTCACTAGTCCTTACCACATACCCCAAAATACCAAGCCCTGCTCTCCAATGAATCTCTTTTGGAGAGGCACAGTACCGTGCCACCGCTCTTACTGCATTCGCGATATCTGGCCTCGTTTGCGTTGCCAGCCACATCAATGATCCTATCAGCTCACGAAAAGGCCATGATACCACTTCCTCATCCTGGTCAAACTCTGAAAGCTTCAACCCTACAGGAAGAGGAATTTCCTTCCCGTACTCTACCCCAAACTCCATCCCCAACTCTTCAGCGTACGTCTGCTGCGAGATCTTCAAAGTTCCTGCATCCCAATCTCTCTCATAAAAACATCCAGAGTACCATCTCAAATCCCCAAGATTCTTCACAGGTACCATGGTGTTGAGGTCCCTGCCAAACTGGTCACACCTCTCCTCTTCTCCTATCGAAAATATATCATCTACATGTACCACCAGAGTCACTACCACTCTTCCCTCCTCAATCAACCGAAACACACACGTATCCGCCATACACTGAATAAAACCCAAACAAATCAAACACCTCGCCAAGTGTGAGTGCCACTGCCTTGATGCCTGCTTAAGGCCATATAGACTCTTGTTCAACTTCACGATCATACCTGATAATCTACCACACCCCTCTGGCAGACGCATAAAAACATCCTCATCCAAATCCGACTGGACAAATGCCTGCTTGATGTCAAAATGACGGAGAGAAAGATTTTGCTCACACGCCATCGCTGCCAACAAGCGAACGCTAGAAACCGCTACAGTCGGTGCATACGTCTCTCCACAATCTACATGTACTCGCTGCATATCTCCTCTCGCTACTAGCCGTGATTTCACATTGGTTGGCCATCCATACTCATCAGATTTCCAATCAAACACCCACTTCGCCTTGATAACACTTTCTGGTTGCTACATTACTTCCTCAAAGGTACCAGCCTCCATCAGGCCTCTGAACTCCTTCTCTACAGAGTGTATCCACAAGTCAGCATGTTGAGAGGACACAGCCTCCCTATA